GTGATGGAAGTTGACATCAACACATGTATTCAAATTTTGATGTCATCTTTCAATTGACGACACTGTATGAAACAAAACAGGGAGAAAAAAATAGCCCTTGCTGAGTTTCTTGCCGGTTCTTCTCAGTACAAGGTCTCCCGCCGTAGATTTACGAACCGATGGCGTAGCGTTTGACTTTCACAAGAGCTTGTAACAGCCTAGACTGAATAAATGAGTTTGAATTTGAATTTATTACAAATCTTTCTTTTCTTTTTTTCTGGTTCTGATTCTTGAACATTAGCATGAACATTATAGTTTTTCGTATTGCCCATTCGCGTTCTTTATTTATTCTTTTATACGGTTTAATTTCTGAAAGATCGGCGCAGTATTCACGCCTAAGCCGGTTGTATTCGGTGATCGCTGAAGCTTGAGCTTTTATACTCTTAAAGTCAACATTTATGAGGTGCACCCCATGAAGATTGGTTACTCGCGAAAGCGCCACGTAGGCTTTGCCACAAGAGAATATGGAGGTGCCAATGTCCATGAGGGTATTTTTTAGACTTATACCTTGGTATCACCAGCACTCTTAGTCCAATGCATTATATTTTGACCAAATTTTGAGCGAAATAGTGTAATATGTTTATTTAATTTGTGTAATGTTCGAGTAGAATAAAGTTAATCGTTCGACTATTTTTTCTTGTAAACTCGTAAGTATAAGTATAAAAGTCAGTCTCGTGTTATTCAGAGTTTTCCTTTAATTTTATTTATATGCATATTAAAAGTAGAAGGGGAGGCATTCGCTCAGCAGTAGGACGCTATAGGCTAGATTAAATTAAAAGATGTGTACCACTACGCTGAATTTTTGCAACGACAGTCGATTTTTTTTATGTAATAGTAGAAGGGGGCATTACCATATCTCTAATACAGCTGAGGGTTCTTTATCAGATACTTCAGACTTTCGATTTTTGACATCAAATGAAGCGGCCCATTGAATATATTTTGTAAAGGCGGTATGACGATCTCTTCTAATAGTTTGATTGGGCTCTTGTGTTTTCTAATCACGGTCACCAGGTGCTCCAGATCTTCGATTATCCTAGTTTTTATAGTTTTCCCTTTATGTGGCCATTAAACCCTAACTCTGTACCAAATTTCAGCTCTCTGAGTTTATGGGAAGTACTAGTTGTATTTTGATGATCATGGGTGAGTGAATGTCATAAATGCTGAAATTTTGGATTTTAAGTATGTTATTATAGCTTACTGGATGACGAAAATTTCAGCATTCTGGTCTTATCCAGAGGTTCTCAAATAGGGGCCTGAAAATGCGGCGAAATGGTTCCAGTAAAGGATGGTACGGCAGTGATTGCTTCGCGCTCGACTTGGCGGGGGCCCTGCCGTGCCCCCCGATTTAGGGCATGTCCTGTATATCGACGTTAAATCTTCATTTCTCGCGATAAGATTTTTTGCTTCCTAATGGGGTTTCGACGAATTCTGGCTTTAACAGCATTAAAAGCCTTTGTAGTTCTAACAGCAGGCGGCCGCCCGTAACTTTTCTGGTCTTCGATAGACGAAGTGTTGTTGTATCTGTTGATAGCACGATATACGAACATACAATTGATACCAAGCTTTTGAAATGTCTGGAATATAACCGACGGTTCCATACCCATTTTGAGCAAGGCGATCACTGCAGTCCTATTTTCTTTAACACCCCATTCCATATTGTAATTTGATAATGAACATAAAAAATTATGTGAAATGGCGTAAAATCGAAAGAAGTTTTTGTGAAATATTGTTTACACTACGCGATCATCTTACGGACCTCCATGGATCGTCCAATTTACCTTTTGGACAGGTTTCGGGCATGATTTTGTTCGTGTTGGTGTTTCTAGGGTATTTAATATTGCAGCTTGTGCTGCGTTGAAGCGTACAGTACCCCTAGCACGAACCAATATCAAATTCGAATAGTTTGCGAGTGCGAAATGTCATTAAATATGTACTGATTTTTAGTTCTCGTTAGGTCCGTTGTGGTGTTGCTGTTCAAGTTTCCATACAAAATTTGATATTGATATTTCGGACTGGCAAACTATTCGAATCCGATAAAGGGTACAGTTCTATCTCGCTTGCTCGGTTGAATGTTTATTTAAATAACTGTGCGTGTGTGAGAGTTGCTTATGTAGTTGAGTCGAAGCATATTTTATTTGATGCTAGTAAAGGCGTACCGTATCTTCCCTTTTTGTATAATATATTGCAATAGATTGCAGGAAGCTATGAGAATGAGTTTTTAAGTTTAGGAGTCCAAGTCTAAACGATCAAAGTCCAGGGCCGTCATCCAAAACATCAAGTTTTCCTCTTTTCAAGGACTCCTCCACTAGTCCCAGGGTCAAGGTTAGACTCAGCGTTGTCCTGTAACAATTTAGCGCTATTTGGTACTCGTTTTAATCTAGATTTTGCTTTGGGGGCCACGTATCTTTGAAGTATAAATATGTATAGCTAAGTCGACTAATACTTGGTTATGGGTATAACGTGAGGCTAGTTGACGGCTTGCAAGAGAATTCGAGATGAAAATTTGTTGCTAAAGCTGATACTCTTGTTCAGGTTGACGTGTATTATTATGTCTTTCAATTATGGCAGTACGTAAAAATCAAATCAAAAAAATCTAAAATATATTTATTTTCCATCACAACAAAGATCCATAGTTAGTCTTGTTTTGCAATAACAATGTTGTGTACCTACTCCTTTATTTGTGATGAACTGGTGCCTGAAATAGGTTTCAGCATTAGAAACCTGTGCTACAGGTCACCAGGCCCAATCACAGTTGAAATCTATACATTGTTGTTACAACAGCATTGAATAGAGGAAAAAAAGATAATAAGAATAAAAAGAAAAACATATTCTATCTAATAGGTAGCAAGAAAATTATCCAGTTTCTAATAATATTAACCGAAAGCTGTGTGCATGTGTGTGATTTCTACTGGATCCATGTATATTAGATTACCTCAAAGGGGTCATAATCAAGTTGTATGTGCAGATAATAGTAGCTTACGTCTTTGGGGCTTAGAAAAGATTGATAACAACCTGTATCCTTTAATAATTTAAGAGATGGGTTGGCAATAAAAATATAGGATAGCTACCTATGTGTGTAAAGATTAACTTCTATTTTAAGCTTTTTAATTTTCTGACCTTCCTTTAATCCTGTAATAACATGCAATGGGGATGTACAATTAAAATTTTACAAAATCATATTAAATTATGGTTGTAATTTAGAATATGGTCCTGGAAACTTTTTAATTCATATTTTAAACCATTAAATATATAGGTAATTTTTAACAACAAACTGCTATTTGACAAAATCTTGAAGAGATTTAGTAAAATTAATTGACTTTATAATTATTAAGAACTTCTATGTTCATAATTATTATTATAGTATCGTTATTCACTACATCACTCGCCTCAGCATTTAATTTTTTTGAAATAATGGTGTATAAATTATAAAATCAATATGATCACTGCATATAGGATCACTGAGCATAAGTTAACATTTACATTTGTATATTTAATTTTTTGCTTAAGAAATACTAGAGAAAATTCAACACGACATTTAGGGCCGCTTTAGCATAATGGTCAGTGCATCTGCCTGGATAGAGGTGGGTGTGGGTTTGAGTCCTGTCTACTGGATGTAAACTATTTGTAGTTAAATTTTCTTTAGTTTAACATTTACATGTGCATTTTAATCACAAATAAAGAGCCTCTTTAGTCAGTTAATACTTCCCATATTACATAAAATAAGTAAAAAGTCAAAAATTAGTAAAAAAACATATTTATCAATGAAACTTGGCTCGAATCACACTGTGCTGCAGTCATGGACAGACAGACATCCCAGCTTGTGAAGCACTATTAGAGCTCACCTAACAAAGTGTATACAATTCTACTGGTGCATCACAATACTTTGCTTATGGGGTGTATGGATATGAGGATAACAGAGTGCTGTCAATGACAACATAACAAATACTGGGCAAAACTCATGGACTGCAGGCAATCTAGGGAAGCTGTTCCTAAGGTTAACCTGCTGCTTACACGTAAGTTAATCAGAATACCTAGACAAGCCCTAAAACAAATTGTGCGTATACTCACGGGTCAGGGCTACTTTAACAAACACCTTTGTAATATAGGTATTTCTGACAGCCCTCAGTGCAGAGCCTGCCTGGAGGAGGAGGAGACAAGCGCCCATGTTCTACTAGTGTGCATGGGAATTGCAAGACAAAGGACTTCTGTAATGGAAAGCCCAAGGACAATAGTAGAGGCCTGCAACAACATCCAGAGACTGCCTTTCTGGAGGAGCTGTGCTAGCAGGAGTGATGCCAATCTCCACGCAAAATAGGCACTGGATGTTGAGTTTCTGAAACACTGCCATACTACTACGACTATGGGGTGAATGCGAATTGTTTAGCTCTGGATAAACATAATATCCTTATTTTAAATAAAACTATATGAAATACATGTTATTTTCATAAACCAACAACAAATAATATATGCTAAAGCTTAAACTGCATTTTATTTTTAATTCCCATTAATAAGAAGGTGTTTTGTTGGTAGTTTGTAAACAAAATGTGAAGCGGACGCATCAGGGGATGTCAAATATTAGTCTTTTAGGATATTTTTTACTATTTCAACCTAAATAAGACCAATTAGATCATACATTAAAGGTAGCATAAAAATATTTTGAATCCTTTTTTTAATATTACGGGTAATTTTTTCCTCCGGAAAGCGAAAATGAACCTCTCAAGATTCACCATATACCTATATTTCTTAAACCTTCGTAATTCACAAACTATTTTATTTTTAAGAGATTAATAAAGCTAAAATAAATTTTTTATTTAACTAATTTTAAACATTTGATACGCAGCCCAACTCTCAGTAATACAAAACAGAAGAACAACAAAACCAATGAAGTAATCGTGAATTTTACTTTATTTTGATTGTCAAAAATGGTAAAGAAAAGGCAAAACACTACCAATGACACTTACGATTATCAGGAACTATCTTGCTGGACATATGTAGGAATAAACCAACAAACAGTTCATCAAATCACAATCATAAATTTGTTTAATAACACTTTAACTGCTATTTTGCTTATTTTTAATAGTAAAAATCACGACGACATAAACACGGCAGTGTTAAACGACTTGTTAGCACAGACTACGGATAAATAGATCTTTGGACTACGGGTGTAATGGTCATGACGTCACGAATCCGACGCCACATATTGCACTGTTAAGCTACCATATTTTTACCGGGAAAACGAATATGAAGTATAACCGAAAGTGCGTGAGAAGTATTCAAATTTTATTTAAAGAACAATAACTGCATCCGAACAAAAAGAATTTCTTTTAATTGATGAAGTAAATAAAAATTCTTCTTTATTCGCACTACATATTTTTAATATTTCGTCGATTTATGACGTCAGTGAACTGGCCAGTATATTTCGGAACAATTCTCTATACTTATAGTTATTATAGTATAGCGTCGATTCATGACTTCATTAGCACTGGCCAGTATACTGGTATCAAGGAACTTATATTCTATTTGGAATGCTTACGAAACAATCATCATCATCATCAACCCATGTTCGTCCACTGCTGGACATAGGTCTCCCCTAATGCACGCCACTACTCCCGATTTTGTGCTACTCTCATCCAGCCCACTCCAGCCAGCCTAAAAATATCATCATCCCATCTTATCTCAGGGCGTCCTACACTACATTTACCGAGTCGTGGTCTCCACTCAAGAACTTTCCGGCTCCAACAGCCATCAGTTCTGCGGCTAATGTGACCAGCCCACTGCTTCAGTTTGCTAATTCGGTGGGCTATGTCGGTGACTTTGGTTCTCTGTCGGATTACATCATTTCTGATGCGGTCCTTCAGGGATACTCCGAGGCATAGCCCTTTCCATAGCTCTCTGAGCGACTTTAAACTGGTGAACTCGTCCAGCCGTGAGTATCCACGTCTCGGCGCCGTATGTCATAAGGGGCCGTCCATAAATTACGTCATCGATTTTTTCAGATTTTAGACCCCCCCACCCCCTACAATCATCCTATCGTCATTTCTTAATGACCCCCCCCCCCCCTTCTCCCAAAATTGACGTCATTACCAGTTTGACAAAATTAAAACATTGCAGATTTGAGAAAAGCTAGTATTACATGTAATATTATTGTTAGAGTATGTAGGTATGTTTATTATGAGTTATTTTAGTATTGTACGCGCTTTAGCCGCCTCTCACATTTGCAGTCTCACTTACTAGGTGTGCTGGAAGAATTTCTTTTTAGAAATAATCTTTTTGTACGTGAACAATAAACTATAAATAAATAAATAAGAATGACGTCAATTTCGAAACAAGTCATTTACCGTCATCCGCAGACCAACCCCCTCCCCCCTAATTTAGAATGACGTAATATATGGACGGCCCCTAACTGGGAGGACGCACTGGTCTAAGAATTTCGACTTCGGACATTGAGGGATGGGTGACGAGAAGACCTGACGAAGTTTACAAAATGCAGCCCAGCCCAACTGAATTCTTCTATTGGCTTCTCTCTCGAAGTTGTTTCTGCCTAATCGGAGCGTTTGTCCTAGATAGACATATTCCTGAACAACCTCGAGAGGTACTCCATTAACAGCAACCAGTCCCGGATCAACGAGCTCGTTGAACATGACCTTGGTTTATCCAAGTTCATCCGGAGACCGATGCGTTTGGAAGATTCAGCCAGGCTGCTCCCATCTTCTATAGCTCTTGCAGGGTTTCAGCCAGGATGACGATGTCGTCCGCGTATCGTAGGTGTGAGATGTATTCGCCATTAATATTTATTCCACATCTTTTCCAGTTAAGCGTTCCGAACATGTCCTGCAGCGCAGCGGAGAAGATTGGGGATATTATCCACTGGACAGTCAGTGGCCGCCAAAGTGGCCATGAGCACGCACCCCTCAACAGTCCGTGGCCACTTTGGTTGCCACGTTCGAATTTCCGCGCGGCCTGCTCTTTTTCTACAGACTATAACGAATACTTGTATTTATGGACCTCAAGCCAGCTACGCACAGTATCTTTATGATATTTGTAACGTACTGGTATCACCGGAACACCCTAGTCTGCTTTGGAAAAAATTAAAAAAAAAAACTGACACAATTATTTTCTTTCGTAAATTGTGATCAAGTAAAGTGATAACGTGCTGCTTTTAGTGTTGAAATATGCCGTAAGTACCTTTTTATCTTTGTTATTATATAGATATTTGTGATAATACAGGCTTTCATATTTTCAAAAGATTATCACGAGCAAAATGATCCGAAAATTATAAACTTAACCTGAAGATTTGTTGATAGAAAAAAATAAACATTCGGCGGATTTCAATGGCGTATAATTAATAGTTAAATACTAAATTGTTATTGATTATTGATAAATTACGTCGTGTAATTAATTAAAAAACTTATTTCAATAGTTAAAATCAAGTAAACATATAAGTTAGCACTAGATTCATGTATTTCGTGACGGGTATTGTTCATTGTTTACCAATGAGTCACCGATGACGTACTAGCTACTATGTACTGTTAGTAAATAAGGGTCGTTACAGATAACAATTTTAAATTGCTTTTTTTATTTGGAGTGTGCTTATAATTATGTGGTAGTTTGTTTATTCGTTTGTAAATTTTTATATTGGGAACGAAAAATCTTTTTTAATTGCTATGTATGTATGTATGTTTGTTCGGTTGGAATCTAGCAACTCAATTTTGAAACAGTTGTTTTCATTCGATTGAGCTGAAATTATGTACACACATTTAGTTTGGATGATAATGCATGGTGAGCTATGTGACGTCATTCTAAATCCTATATGGCGGAACATACAAGATGGCGGACTAGCTATTTTCGATGCACTCCTACAATATAGGTATCAAATGAAAGGGCTTGCTGAGAATAACTCGATAAATAAAGTGACGTCACTTTAAATCCAATATGGCGGACAAAGTTTTTTATGTTTTGCTACAATATGGGTATCAAATGAAAAGGCTTGCTGAGAATAACTCGATAAATAAAGTGACGTCACTTTAAATCCAATATGGCAGACAAAGTTTTTTATGTTTTGCTACAATATGGGTATCAAATGAAAGGGCTTGCTGAGAATAACTCGATACATAAAGTGACGACACTTTAAATCCAATATGGCGGACAAAGTTTTTTTATGTTTTGCTACAATATGGGTATCAAATGAAAGGGCTTGCTGAAATAACTCGATAAATAAAGTGACGTCACTTTAAATCCAATATGGCGGACAAAGTTTTTTTATGTTTTGCTACAATATGGGTATCAAATGAAAGGGCTTGCTGAGAATAACTCGATAAATAAAGTGACGTCAACTTAATTCAATACCGCTTTTTTATACTGCTAAGTTTTTTATGCTTTCCTAAAGGGCATCAAATAAAAAAAACTAGCTAGATATGTGGGGTTTTAAAGTTCTCGATTATGTGCATTTTTAAACTAAAAAAACTTCAAAACAAGCTTTTTTTACTCTTAGCTATGTTTTGTGGTCTACTTTTACTCATGTGCTTAAAAGAGGTGGTTTGTTTGTTCATAATTTTTTTGTTGTGTACGCGATTTTTTTTGCTTTTCTAATTTTAATAAATATATAACTGTCTTTCATATTTCGCACCTAATGACAGTTTGACAGGCCGGCCCAATAAGGAGAAAGCAACCAACATCCTGATCATCTGCATGAAGATAAAATATATATTATATATATATATATATATATAGGGGGATGAAAAATAGATGTTGTTCGATTCTCAGACCTACTGAATATGCAAATAAAATTTCACGAAAATCGGTCGAGCCGTATCGGAGTAGTTCAATTACGCACACCGTGACACGAGAATTTTATATATTAGATATATATATATATATAATATACATATATATAGTAGGTATATTTATTAAAAATAAAAAAAATATAAAATATTGAATTCTTTTTATTTAGAAGTAACCTACTCGGCTACTACGCAAAGTCCGTATTGAGCCTTAGGAACGGCGGCCATCTTGTGAATATTTTTGTCTCCCGAAATGGCCGAAGCCGTGGTGGATGAGAAGTCGACAGGATGTTAGATTTTGCTTTACTGAAAAGGGTACAGACTGAATTAAAAAAAGTTATTGATACCATTAGAAAGGTAGTTAAATTTCCTGCATTTTGAGATCAACTAATTTTGACATTTTCGTAACTAACATTAGGAAATAGGCGTTTAATTTTAAAAGTTTATTAAAAATTGACTTTTTGTTGGGTTCAACCCGCTCTATTTAATCGTTTTTCGAGTTACAGAGATCCAAGTGTTCTGTAGTAGATTCTTTATTTAATCAGCTTTACGGTAGTATTTTTTGTTTGGTCCTAGCTTCAGTATTTAGCGAGAAAATGGCATTTCTAACTGAAAGTCCGGAATGGCCGACATTTTTCGCTTCGCTTCGCGCCGCTTGGACTGTTGAGAGCGGCTGCTTTGGTTGCCACGGACTTCCCGGTGTTATAATGCGATTCTAATAAGAATAGGAAAGCCAATGACCTCTATCTGTAAAATGTCGCTTGAAAAGTACGGTTTGCAAAAAAAATTGTGTGTGTCAGCTCCGACGCACGACTGGAGTTCACTCCTTAAGTTCGATAGTCTAACCAGACGCAAAAAGAGTTTATTTAACTTAAAAAAGATTGATACTGTATGAAAGGGTAAATTAACAAATTAATGACTACAAATTAATAACCCTGCAGTCTGACTAGTTGCCTGCTGTCGATCAGTATACAGAAACCGGAAACCTCTCTCTTTATTTAAGTTCGGTTCTCATTTTCATATTTTTTATGTTTTTATCTTTATTGTAAACTTCTTTTATTCGTTTTTATACATAGCATTTTGCCATTTATTTACTACTTTACTTTGTGCTAAAGATCATAAAGCCGCATACAAACACGCTATTATTGTAAGCAACTACAAAACCAAAAAAACATATATTTTTTACCTAAATATTACTACTTAACCAATTTTATACTGTGACACTATTGTGTTCACATACTTTTATTATATCGTCCAAATACATACTTTACCCCATACCAATACATATCAGATTATTTATCACCCTCCCACTTAACCCTACCTATATTATATTCAAAAGTGGATACCATAATTAACATAAGTGAAAGTATTGATGAATTTTCCCTGTCTCATTA